TAGTTACTTCTTTTAGCCTTTAGCTGCAGTTTTGCTCATTTTAGTTAATTATTTTAGCCTTTAGCTGCAATTTTTCTTATTTTAGTTATTTCTTTTAATCATTAGCTGCAGTTTTGCTCATTTTAGTTACTTCTTTTAGCCTTTAGCTGCAGTTTTGCTCATTTTAGTTACTTCTTTTAGCATTTAGCTGCAGTTTTGCTCATTTTCCCAGTATCCAGGTCAGCTCAGAGGCGCTGCTCCTCTGCACTGAAAGGAGTCCATCGAGGAGGTTCTGACCAGGAGGCCACCCTCTGGAGGTTTCCTGGGCACGACCCACAGGGAGAAGACTCTGGAGCAGACCCAGAACTCTCTGGAGGGGTTAAAGATCTTCTCTGGTCTGGAACCTCCTCGGAGTCCCCCAGGAGGAGCTGGAGCGGGAGGTCTGGGCTTCTCTCCTGGACCCGTCGCCTCCTCGACTCAACTACAGGTAAGCAATAGAAGTTTTCCGTTTCCTCGACGTGTCCTGCTAAATGTAACCTCACAACTGTGGAGATTACAGTAAAGGAGTCCAAACATTTTTTAAACTTCATCTCAAATTGTTTTTATTTTTTATATTGTTGGTTAAACGAGTGCTGAGGTCTGAGCTCAAAGGATCAGGGACAAAAAGTGAACAATAAAAAATAAAAGACGAGAGAAGAGCCAAACTCGTGGAGGTGTTCGAGTCCAGCTCGTTTCTGGACGTGGCACCACAAAGATGCGGAGCAGAAACGGCCGCCGCGGAGCGGTCGTTACGGTGAAACCAGCCCGGCTGGAGGGAACCGAAGGCAGAAAGAACGAGCCGTTCATCAAAGACTCAACGCTCGGCACGAACAGCATCGATACTGAACCAGTCAAACATTGTGCACCAGAACAGCAACTCCAAAACAAGTTTCAACTTTGACTCTGAAGAGAAACTTCCTGCAAATGATTCAAAGTGAAAAAGATCGAAAGAGAAAAAAAACTTCAACTTTAAACATTTATGAGGTTTAAACCTTTTGAATTCCTTTAAAAGATCAACACGAAACAAAGAAAAACCAGGACCGAGTCTGGAACCAAACAGGACCGGGTCTGGAACCAAACAGGACCGGGTC